CAGCATGGTTTACATGCTGTTAAAAATACTGTGTTGTACATCTGAAAATTGCAATGGCTCTTAAGTGATCTTAGGACAAGGAAAAAATTGTAACTATGTGACATAATGGATGTTAACCAAATTTATTATAGTAATCGTTTTGAAATATATACATACATCAAATCATTATGTTGTACATCCTAAACTAATAAAATGTTTTATATCAAATATATCTCAATAAAACTGGCAGGATTGGAAGTGACCTAAATGTCCAACAACTGAGAACTGGTTCGATAAAAGTGTGATAAATTCATAAAAGGCAATCCTATTCAGTCATAAATAGGCATATACACACCCATACACCCATCCATATATTCATTGCTATGGAAGAAGTCCCATCACTCATTGGGATAAACTATGTATATAGTATCACATCATTTACGTAAAAAAAAATTTGGGCACACATGCCTACATATATAGAAAAAAAGATTCTGAAAAATCATGGTCAAAATGATGATTCTATTTTTGGTCATTTTAACACTCTTCTTCACACTTCTACACACTGCTTGAATTTCCTATGATGGGTATGTATTTTCATTATAAATAAACCAAAAAGTTAAAAAGAAGAAGCATTTCCTATCCTCAGTACAAACCAAAGTATGCATTATGTTCAGGTCTCAACCCTTTGGACATTCCCTTAGTCTACAGTATTTTTTCTCCATATCTACTCTGCCTTTGATTCAGCTTACTTGTTTATTAATAGTTGTACTAAAACAAATACCTTTGCAGTTCTGTTTCCATAGAATTTCACTAAGATCTTCAAAAACTAAAGCTAAACCAGTAATTCACTGCTACAATAAACTTTTCTATGAGAACCAACTCTAAGATTGTTTACTAAGTCTGTGTGTCTGTTTCCAGGGAAAGGGGGTGGGAAGGGATACATTTAGGAGTTTGAGATTTACAAATGTTAGCCACTACATATAACAATAGATTTTTTAAAAAGTTTATTTTGTATAGCACAGGGAACTACATTCAATATCTTGTAATAAACTTTAATGGAAAAATATGAAAACGAATATATGTATATATATGCATGAATGGGATATTGTGTTGTACACCATAGACTGACACATTCTAACTGTCTGTACTTCAATAAAAAAAGAGAAGAAAAAGAAAAAAAAAAAAAGAACTGATGGCAGCACCTCTTCAAGAAGCAGTGCTGCGGGTGTTCCAGTGTGGCTGCTCCTCTATACGCTATCCAACGTAAGGATGGTGCCGGTGTACAATCTCTCAATGGAAACAACTGAAAACTATTACGTTTGTTGTAATTTGTGAACCTATCACCCACTTCTGATTCCAGGAAATGACAGAGGCAGGATTTGGCAGCCACATGATGGAGATGTCCATACACTAACTTAACCAGGGGAGGTTGCTGGAGAATTGTTGTCCCCTGCTCTCTCTTTGAATCGGGGGCCATTCTCCTCTGACCAGTAAATCCCTCTGCTTCATGCACACACCCTGACAAATTCTGCTGTCCTTTTGCCTGGGTCAAGCGACTCTTGTTCTCTTGCCCAGTTTTTAAGGTCACATATTTGTGTTTGTTTAAGACTTTCTGTTAATTGGAATGAAAAAAAGGCTATCTTTTCCCAGAGCCCCTCAAATTTTGAGACATGCTTTAGAAGTCTTCAGGCCTCCTCTTGCTGGGTTACTCTTACAGAAAATCTTTTCCTCACTGATGGCAAGAACAACTTCATGATACCTCTACTTCCCATGTGATACAGAGGACACGAATTACTGGGACTTTTCCAAAGTTAGGGGGAATTCCACTTTATGTGGAAGATTTTTACCAAATGGAACTGAACTGGAAGCTGGAACTAGAATTTGACACAGGGAATTTAAACTCAAACATTAATTTATTAGCGCTCAACAGTTTTTGAGTCTTGTTCCAGTTTGTATCCATGACTCAGTAACCTCCAGCCCCCAAATATCTGTTTATTTCCTCCTGAATTAAGCACTTATTGAGCCTGTTTTTCCCATAGGGCGAAGAGACAGTGTGAGCTGAATACATATGAAGTTTCAAAAATTATAGCGTTTTTCAGAGAAATGAGCAGATGATTAACGGAGACCTTTCTGGACCAAGAACCAAGGACTAAAGACCACTGATGTAGACTCCATCCATATACTGATGCTAGAAAAAACACAAAGATGTAAAGTGACCTTTGATGTATAAGGTATGCCATCTGTATGTGTTATACAGATGGCCATGTGACACATAACATGGAGAAAGCTGTTTTTATCTGACTATTTACTCACCCCAAATTCCCATGAATATTGCAAAGAACACCGTTGACTCATTGTCAAATAAATGAGAGACCTGTAAAACAACAACATCACAAAGAGTGCTGAGTTTCAAGTGCAATACAAATAGTGGGAAATTGAAAGTCATTTCAACATACCATGATACATACATACCTTCGAAGCCAAACACGTAGAATTTAGTCTCCAAAAGTCACACACATGATCACAGAGGGGGCACATGATAATCTGACCTCCAATATTAGGGTCACAGATCTCAGTGCTGCAGAGGGAAGAACAAAGTTATTTTTAAAGTGATGTGTGTGATGAAAATCCAAAGATGTTCTTATCAGAACAACTTTACA